TAATAATAATAATAATAATAATTCTCTGCCCCAGTAAGCTCATGGTTAGGGAGGCTAACCTAAAACAGCCAGACTCTTCTCACCATGAAGAGTATGAGTTAAGAGAAGCCTTAGGGAGCATGCAGGAGGAGGTGAGAGCTTGAGGAGGCAAGTGCAGAGGATGGGCTAATTGCCTTTTTGGGGAGTATTCAAGAGTCTGCTTGTCCATTTAAGCACTGGTTCGATTGTTTGCATTTATTGTCTGTACTCATGAGGCCAGAGCACAGCCAAGCAGTGCTGCCAGCTCTGGAAGTTACCTCCTTACAGCAGTTCGTTTGCACTGTAACAGCCTTGCAGAGAGTGGAATGAGGAGCTGGGCGTTTCTTTCACTGCAGTTTGCTTTGAATTGCAACCTACGCAGGACACCAATTTTATACTCCCTTCCACTAGTTTCAATCAAGAATAACTCTACTGAAGTCAGCAAAGCTGCAAAACAGACAAGAGGAGGGAATGGGGATCGTTCTGTTTGCTGTGATTTGTAATAAACGCCAATAGCTCTCCCAGGAAACCTGTCCTGGTGTGAGATGAATGTACCTTGTTTGCATTGAAACAGTGGGATCCTGGGCTCTGATGGAACTGCTCTGGGGCAGCCGGTGATAAATGAATGCTGATCATTGCAATGGCTGTGGAGTCAGTGGGGTTTTTATTACTGTACATCCAGCAGCAATTTGGTTAGAATTTCTGGAAGACTTTAGTGCCAGGAATTTTTTGTCAGTGACAAAATGGAAAGAAAAGGTGAAAAAGGAGTGATGGCAGGGAATAGGGGAAGGCAAATCTTCTTTCCCACCCAAACCAAATCAGAAAAGTGGAAAATGAAAAGAACAACCAACCAAAATAGCAAAAAACAATAATGCTAAAAATATAGATTTTTTTAAAAATGAGATTAATTATTCCTTTTCTAAATTTGCACTTAGATTAATACTTGGTGCTTTACAAAAGTTCTTTTGGGTTTTGACTGGCTATCATTTAGACTTATTTCAGAGACACCCTCCACTGACACATGCATGGGAGGTTGTCAGTGCAGCAAATGCTCTGCTAGAAGCTCTGTATGTGGGTTGTGTGTGTGTATCCATGTATTGCCATCCAACAGTGTTCACTTCTGCCTCTGGATACTGCTAAGTTAGCCCTGGCTGGGGTGGTCTCACTGGTGCAGGAGGCTGAAGGAGTGCGATGACACAATTCAATTTCCAGAAGCCTTTGTTAGGGCCTCCTGATGGCAGCTTGTTGGATGGAGATGGGGTGAACGTTGCGACAAAAGTGGGATCCATGCTGAGGCTTATTTATTTAGACTGTAGGCAACTGGACAAGAGGTCGCTCTTTTCTTCTAAATGCACACCCTGTGCCCTCAGCAAAATTGCATTTTTATCCTTACTGCCACAATATTGAATGCTGCTCCCACACTACAAGTGTTCAGTTTTCTGTTTGTCCTTTGTCATTTTAAAGAAGAGACCTTACTGACTGCCCTGTCTTTTTTCTGCTGAGTAATTCCACCAGGTGTCTGACAAAGATACTTCTGGAGAGCAGATATTTAGCTTTTGCAATGCCAAAAGGCATTTAGCAAAGGTACTTCTTGCCTCCTCTACTAAAGCTTTTTGATACCTCTGCAGATTTCTCTGCAAAACACTGACCAGCAGGATGACTATGGCTCTGCGCACGCACACATTTCACTGCTGGCACAGTCAGCAAATTGAGTTTCAAGTAGCTTCTGATCTGGCTGGGGACTGAGCTTATTTATTCACAGACGTGATAGACATTGCTACTGGACTTGAATCTGATGCCTTGTGAAGGGCTGTGTGGGTTTACTTTCAGTCTCATGCTTGATCCTTGTAGACAGCATAATTCAAACTTTCCTGCTTAGAGATACTGGTTGAATGTAACAACAGGCAAAAAATACCCATAAGAAAACTGGTGTTAATGACAAAGAATGGAAGAAAATTAAATTATAAATAGAAATAAGTAAGGCTTTTTTATTATTATTATTATATTCAGGCTTTATGGTCCTTCATTAAGACCTAACTTTAGAATTTGTGGAAAAGCCCTCATGTACATTTAAAGATTTTCTCTGCAACTAAGATTTACATCAAGCAGGAAGCATGACTTTTGGAAAATTGGATATTGTGACTGGTAGGATTGAAAAGAGAATGAGTGCAATTTCTGAACACTGTTTGGCAGGTGTTGATGGCTGTCACTCTGTAATTTACTGTACTGGCTTTACAAAAGGCCAGCAAGGAGACTGGAAAGCTAAGGGCCAGCTGCATGGAGTCCTGAGTGTACTTGCTTCCTTTTGAGTGAGAAAATGAGGTTGTTGCTTGTTTGTAACCCAGAGCTAAGCTGGGCCAGTTTGTCCTGATGGAGCGGGAGCTTTGCTTTATTTGGTCCACAGCGGGCTGGGCTGCATTTGAGAGCACAGTGGGGTTGTGTTCAATAGTAGGTTCAGAGTAGGGTTAGGATTCATTACAAACCCACTGAATCAAGGTTGGCCCCATGTGTCATAGCGCATCATCTATGTTGTTTGATCAGAAATCCAGAGTTCCAAAATGCTAGTGTAAATGTATTTGGGTGGCTTTTTGTCCCCTCTTCTTCCCAAGTTTTAATGTTGCAAATGCTACTGTAATAAATGTTATTGAGAGGGATTTGCTGAAGGATGTAAATATTCATCAGTCTTTAATGATTTGCATTTGAATCCAGAAAATTGGCTTATGACTCCACACTGATTTTCTCTCCTTCTGATTTTCAAATGGCATTAAGTGCAGGAGGATTAATTACCTGGGGTTTTCTCTGGTCCAAACCAGACTTTGCTATCTTAATTTGGAAATAAGTTCTTCATTAGCTGGTAACTCAACCTTGTGCATCACTTAATCTTTTTCAATCCTTCAAGACTTCTTGTTTCTAACAAAGAGCTTTAGGATCACTCTAGTCACTCTCATATGAACCAGTCACCACTCCTGGAGTATTTAATTTTCACCTTGGCAAGGTTGACGGCTGCATAGTCCTGCACTTCAGAGTGGGAGACCAAAAAGCTCTGGGTTGTTGTTGGCCCTGGGACTGAAAGCATCAATGTTCATTCTATCCTTTTGTGTTTAACCTATCCAAACCTTGCAAATCACACCAAACCATGGTATGCTTTGTGGACCACGTCCCTGGGTTGATAATCCTGTGCAGAAGGACAGTGGTAGTGTGTGCTGACAACCACAGCATCCTTCTCTAGGGATGAGCTCCAGCTCTTGGCCAGTGCTGAAGACAGGGCCATTTTGTCTCCTCTTGCATTTCCCAGATAGATTAAGATGGTGTGCCTATGCTGGCATGTTCTCACACCTCTATGTAGCTGCATAGGCTCATGGATGGTGGATCTTTTAGGACTCTCGTGTACAATGGGATGGATAAGCTCACTCCTCTGAAGGGCTGTTAGTTTCAGAGTACAGCCCCAATGCTTATCCCCTCTGGGAGCAGTTGGCATTAGGTCTTCTGTGTTTGCAGTGGGTGGATTTTACCCCAAATATTTAAAGTCATTCTGGTTTACAATGTGGATTGACAATGCAGTTTTGGTAATTTGACCATACCCTTTTAAAAGCCACTTACAGCTTCTCCATTGGCGTAAGACACCACATTTTTATAAGATTAGTAGGACCTGGATTAGTCAGCAAATGGCACTGAGATCTTCTGGGGAAAACCCAAGGTGATAGTATGAGATTAATATTGATAATCTAGAGCCTGAATAAGTGACACAACAAATGGCCTAACTGTAAATTGACTTCAGTGGAATTTGTTAAGATGGGGCTTTAAGATGGGCTGTTATTCTGCATGTTCTGCCTGCTAAATACTATAAAAAAATATATGCCTAGTCCTAAATAAAAGTGGATGTTAAACATTTTGCTGTCAGCTTTTTTAAGACTCAATGTGATAAGCTCACTGTCCTAGGTCTGTTTATCTGCCTGGCTATTTATCTGTCTGTCTTAGTTCCTCAGTGTATGATGAGTGTATAATTTATGGTTCTGAGATACTTCTGTAGGTCCAGGGGATGGTTTATGTAGATGAGTTTAGATAACAACAACCAAAAAATCTATGCTGTGTGCAGATATCTTAAAAGTGTTGATATTTTCCAGGTAATTGTGAAAACACGAACAGAATATCAGCCTGACCAGAAGAACAAAGGAAAACTCAGAGTGCCCAAAATTGCTGAATTCACAGTCAGTTTCACTGATGGTGTAACAGAAAGACTAAAGGTAAGAAACCGTTATTCTGCTGCCTCCTGATGCAAATGCCATTCATTTTAAAATAACTGAATCAAAGTGACAGTAAAGACATAACAAATTTAACACTCCACTCATCACTAGGGTCAAGGGGAGGTTTATCTGCATGACTATAAAACTTTTAATTTTTTTTCTGGACAGGCTATAACTACATCTAAAGTAAGAAATATTTTTCATTTCCCAGGAAAAGTTATGAAAATGTTTTCCAGTGCAAGCTGGAAATTCATTTCAATGTCTTTGAATCTTCTCAAACATTTGTGTTTAAAAAATAAAACTTTTAATTTTTTTTCTGGACAGGCGTGAAAATACCTTCATAACTACATCTAAAGTAAGAAATATTTTTCATTTCCCAGGAAAAGTTATGAAAATGTTTTCCAGTGCAAGCTGGAAATTCATTTCAATGTCTTTGAATCTTCTCAAACATTTGTGTTTAAAAAGAAAAAACAAATCACAGTGAATATTGGTTGTTTCATTTTTTAAAAATTCTTTTGTCTTGTAGTCAAGCAACCCTTTTAATATTTAAAATATTTTATTATTATATGATTATATTATTATACATTAAAAGGCATTTCAAACTGGATAAAAGAAGATATATTAGACAAGTATCCAAGCATATCCTGTCCTGTAAGCCATTTTGGTTCACAGGAATTGTAATTTCCTAGTGAAAAATGTTTCCTTTAGAAATTTTCAACAGGCTCTACTCAAACATGGAAAGAAACTCATGAATTATTGAGTGCCCTCAGTTCCTGTTGACTGCAGCATATTAGAATGGCTCAGTTCCTCCTAAAATTAGAGTCCAAGCGTGTAGCTGCTAGCATTTTCTCCCGTTTCACTGTGAAGATATGGTGCTTTTCCTAAACCACAGAGCATGTGAGTGATAAAAATGTGAGATCTGATTTCACATTTCTGAATCAGAGGAAGTATAAATGGTTTAAGTAGAAAACATGAAGAGTAAGCAGTACCTAGATATAGTCCTGCTCTTTGAAAAGCTAGGATTGGGTTTATAAATTTTTGTGAAAAGGTATCATCCTTGACAATTAACAGGAATTGACTCAAGGAACTGAATAGTCTTCCATTTGGCCCAGTTGTTCTTAGTTTTGCAAGAAATGAAAAAGTTTATTATAATTATTTTCTAGTAATTTAGAAGAAAACTACCACTTTTAAATTTGGTATGTGATGCAGAAAAAATTGTTGCCATTCATCCTTGAAAAACTTCAAGTTAAGTCTTGTTGATTTTATTGAAAGGAGAAATATTTTGCTACTCTCTTCTGAAGCACTACAGAATGCCCCTGTTTCTGTTTTTTTTCCAGAAATTCAGCAACATATTTCACAAGGACAATTCTGGTGCTTTCATCCAGTATATTTAAAGCTATAATTTATTCTTAAGAGACCTATGAATAAACATTTATAGCTTCTTGGTTTTTTTCCAGTGGACATCACATGTTGTGATTTAAATTACTTACTAGGGGCTTACATGCTGTTGATTTTGACTAAATTTTTCACTGATCTTATTGCGTGTGTAGTACCTATTTACCACCAATAGTGACCACCAATAGTTACCACCAATAGTTGGTACCACTGGTGAAGTAGACAGTGAATTAGCCATAAATCCAGTCTTGGAAACCACAGCAGACATTTTCCAGTGTGAACAACATACAAATCAGAACCAGACACAACGTGCCTGAGAAAAAACAGTAAATGTAGAGTCTTCTGGAAGTGATATGTTGACTTGTGACCTGCAGTAAGTGGCATTAGTGTTGATATTGTAACTAATAGTGCTTCATTGGGTATTTAAAACTTAATCCTGCAGCTCTGAACAATGTTAAGGTCAGTGTAAGACCAAGTTTTAATCCCATCAAAAGATCTGGCCTTGTTATTTAAAAAAGCAATAAAAAATATCTCATCCTTACGCATGGGGCATGCTGGAGGCCCATAAGTTATATAGATAGGTCATCTACTGCTATGGATAAATCTAATTTCATCTATTCCTTCTATTGGGTATCTTATTTTTCTTCAAACCCCCAACTTGCTGTTGCATTTAAACCTTTCCTTTCAATGTACTTTTTCCTCTCCCCTTCTTATTTTCAGTGCAGTTTTCCTGTTGCAGGAAGACTGCACAGCAGCAGGTACTTCAGCAGAGTGCTCAGCACTGGCAGAGGTTTCGGCTGCTTTCCCTTTTGCTGTGTGGTGGGAATGGCTGTGGGAGCTGTACTTCTCTCTGTGCAGCCTGGCAACATGACAGTTTCATTTTTAAGCTATTTCCTTTCCCTAAAGTCCATATGATTTCCATTCTCTGCTCTTCAATGTCAACTTATTAATCACTCAGCCTCTCGTCTAATGCTGGATAAGACTATAAGCCTCTCCCTGCCTGCTGTTCATAAGGCTTCCATGTATCGTATTAAGTTTGTAGTATTATTTCCTGACAAAAATGAGCTGAGATAATAGGCGATATTTCATTACCTTTTGTACTTTTTTTTTTTCATACCACATTTTTATACCAGTGCACATTTTTAGTGAAGTTATTAAAAATAGTGCCCTCTGGTTATAAGCAGGCCTATTATCTGGTACTGATGAAATCATTTTACATTTGTTTTTGGTAAGAGGAAATCATAGTAAATACTTAACTTTTATTATCTCAGTTTGGCTACACTTTTAAAAGCTTAAAAAAAGATAATGTAAATGAGATCATCATATTTGCTTTTGCTGGCTGATTGTTTTGTATATCCTTCCAGTATGTGGTGCATTGCAAATATCATCCACACCTTCTTACTAACACACTGATTAAAATTATTCATCTATACCTGAGCCAGACTGGTGGTAGCTACACACCAGCGAAAGCAAGTAAATCATCCCATGGATTTCTGCAAGAGAAATGATGGAGGGAAAGACCAAAAGCCCATTCAAATGTAGATGGCCCATTGGATTAGTGCACTCCAAATATGAGATCTGTATCCAGTAGCACGTATGGCAAATGCACGCTTTTCCACCCTCTGTACAACTAGTGTGAGTCCACAGCAATGCCTGCATTCAAGGGTTTTCATAGGGAGTCATTTTGCTACTATAGCTCTACTAATCTGTATATGAGGAGCAATACATCTCAGCATGTGGTACCTGTAAGCTGGGGAAAAAGGCAGGACAATAAGAGGGTGCACAGAAATAGCAAAGAGGTCATCTCTTACCTGCTATTGAGCTACTTTGGCATCCTGGAGAATATGAAGTGAGATGCCTTGTATTTTATTTTTCACCCAAAGGATAGAATTATCCTCAGTTCAAACAGAAATATGGCAAAGTGAATATCATTAATGAATGTGTTTGGAAAAATGCAGCTGGGCTTCATGTTTACGACTGTGCTCTCCACCCACTAATAACCTCTCAGGAGGGGCTTTTAACCTTCCTGTTTCAATCAATGAAGTGCTTTTCTTTCCTCTCTGCTTCTGGTCACTTGGTATTGGAATGTTCTCAGTAAAGAAGGAAACTCTTCCCAAGTTCTTGGGTTTTTTTGTTTTGTTTTGTTTTTCCCTGAGTCATGTAGCTGCATTATACAGAAGAGCAGGATCTCTGGGGGAAATTTTGGGACCGTATGAACACGGCAATCAAATCCACAGATGCCCTTTATTCTGCCTTTTAGGTATCTTTTATTGAAGAGGCTAATGAATTATTAGACAACTTTCTCGCCTGAGCAGGCCAAAGCCAGAATCTAAGTTTATGCATGCATATTTTTCATCCATCCAGAATAGAACAGATTTGAGCTCTTTAATTGTTGTAAAGAAGAGACTGTCCCTAGGCAACAGTTCTTATTTCACACTACCTCTTCCAGGAATTTTAGATAGCTTCTGCAACTTGTCACATCTCCTAATAGATGAAATTATGATTCTCTGTAGCTCAGCACACAGTGTCCTGGAAGTTTGACCAATTAGGCTTATTCTTCAGCTGGATGAGTCACCCCATACATACTTTATAACAAATGTTTAAATAGTTATGTGTAGATGGGTTACAAGAAAGTGATGTTAAAAGAGCATTATGGTTAAGCCATCCATACATAAAAGAAATTTATTTTATAGTTTTACTCCTTTACAGAGCAGCAATGACAACATTTTTTCTAAGCTGACTGGCAGTGATTTATAGTCCTTGCCTCCTCCAAACTGTTTATGCCTTTGGAGTGGAAGTTTCTGAACTGCAAAGATCTTACTTTGCAGTAACAATATATACCAAGGTTTCTCATTCTGGAGAGGAGTAGTGTCTGGTGTTTGCCTCCCATTTTGCATGGTTTGAAGGTAGTGCATGTTACTGTGCTTTGCCATCCAGTGATGACACTGAGGTGTGCTAGAAAAGGTCTGTAAATGTGATGACTCTATCATCTTCCTTTGTGGGACAACAGATCTAACCCTTTGCATTTGAGGTAGGACTTACTGCTTCTTTTTGCCAGTGATATCCTATGTTACAGCTTTTAAGAACAATCTCTCATATGCAAGTATCCTCATTCCTGTGAGTTTCTGCCCTTATTTATTTCTATCAATGCTGAAATGAGATCAAATACTCTTTTGCTTTTCAAGCAGATTATCCACTGAATGAAAAGTCTTGTTACTTCTGGAGGACAGGGTTTCCAATGACTCCTTTTGTCTTCCAACCAGTTGAGATAACACAGAAATCAGCCATAAGTATTTAAAAGGTGAAGAGTGGGTTTCTACCCACTTTCTTGACGATCACTTTGCTGAAGCTTGTGTTCAAGACATCAGCACCCTGGTTGAGAAGAAACAAGCTGGAGAATAGTTGCTGACGGATTTTGTGTTTGATCCAGTCAGACCCACAGAGGGTAGGTAGACCTGTCTAGCCCTGAGTTTGCTTAGATTTTTCTATCTCCAAGTAGCACCAGAAAAGGTACTGAAGTGGTCTTTCAGCATAGGCTTACAACATGGAGCATCAGGTTGACACATGTAACTAACTGCCTGTTGGTTACTGGTTTTGTGCAAATT